CCCCAAAACCCCAAAACCCCAAAACCCCAAAACCCCAAAACCCCAAAACCCCAGCTGCTAACTTAAGAATTGGCGTATAGTAATATTATAGGTAAAATGGAGAAGAGGACTAAGTACAGTTTGAAAGATTTTAATAAGCACAAGAAGATAGGGGAAGGAGCTTTTGGACAGGTTTATTTGGTGGACAGTAAGAGGGATGGTCAGACTTATGTTCTAAAGCAAGTGAAAACATCGAAGATGACAGCACAGAAGATTGAAGAAGCTCAGATGGAGACAAAGATCCATAAGACTTTGGATAACCCGTATATATAGTGAAGTACATCACCCACTTTATGGAAGATAAGATGATTAATATCGTTCTGGAGTACTGAGATGGAGGAGATTTAGCCAAGCATATAAAAGCACAGAATAAGAAACATCTCAATGAGAAAGATATCTGGAAGTTCTTTATTCAAGCATGTCTTGGCCTTCAGTACCTCCATACAAGGAAGATTTTGCATAGAGATATTAAAACCATGAATCTCTTCCTCATGAAAGATGGAGCTGTTAAGATTGGAGATCTGGGAGTGGCTAAATCCTTGCAGAAAGTGAACTTTGCACATACTATGGTTGGTACGCCATATTATTTATCACCAGAACTTATTGAAGAAAAGGCATATGACCATAAATCTGATATCTGGTCATTAGGATGAGTTCTTTATGAGCTTTGAGCTTTAGATTACCCATTCAGAGGGACTACCCAGGCTACTCTTTTAATGAAAATTATTAAAGGGAAATATGATCCAATACCAGTTAAATACAGCAAAGATCTTTCTGAATTGATTTCCAAATGTCTCAGAAAGGACACAAGGAAGAGACTATCAATCCATCAGATTTTAGAAGAAGATTCTGTTAAGAGAAAAGCAAGAGAACTCAACATTACTATCCCTAATAAGGAGGATATTTTGAAAAGATTTGATACACAACGGAATGAAGTGATTAACAAGATCATCGTAGAAAAATCAGACCATGATTTAGGTCTCATTGGATCAGCACCCAAAAAGTAAGCACAATAAGAAAATCCCTTAATTATCTACTAAACAGCATTGCCAAATCCTTTCTTAGTAGTGGAAATATCGATGGATCTAGCAATATATTATCCCAAAGCCTTGGAATCAAATTGACTTGAGCCCTTAGAATTACTTCCTTTCTCTTAAGATATTAGTTCTAGAATGTGCTCACTATATCCTAAAATTATGAAATCTCTAACCTAAACATCTAGAAAAACTAAGAAAGGTCTGAAGACAAAGTCAGGTACCTCTAAAAACCCGATCAGTGACCAGAAGCTGAAAAAGTCTGAATATCTGAAAGCCTTAGAGGAAAAGAAGGAGGAACTTGAAGATCTCTTGATGAAGCAATCTAGTACAAAGTTGAATTATAGAGATAGTCTTTCTTCAGTGGAAGATCCACAAATTGTTAAAGGAAAATCCCAAGATATCAATAAGACCAAGACTGCTACTTCTAAGAGTATGAAGAAAGGCAATGCAACTACCAAAGGAATACATTCGGCTTCTCCAATGAAGAGTAGAAAATCTATCAAGCAAAAAACTATTAAAATGAAGAAGAAGGAAGTCAAAGATGTTGAAAATCTTCCTGATCTTCCTAATAATGAAGATGATGGCTATAATGAAAAAGAGGAAGTTAAATCAGCATCTCAACTCTTAGCTGAAATGAAAGCGAGTAAAGCAGGCAAAAGGAATTCCTTGCTTTATCCAGAAGAAGCTAAAAAAGCTAAACTCGAAGAAAGGAAGAAAGCTACTTTGAAAAAGGAATCTAAGTCAACTGCTGTAACCACTAAAGCTCGTGCTGGACAGCAGAAAATATCCGATGCTGATTTTGATGATTTATTGACCGGTAAATCCAGCAAGACGAAGAAAAATGATGATGATGAGCTTGAGGCAATGCTCTTCAACAAACCTTCTCAAGAGGAATCTAAATCTGGATTTTCCTCCTATGTTCAAGACAGCAAGAAAGACGAGCCAGAAGAAGAGAATGAAGATCCCTCAGATGAAGAGGCAGAAGAGGATGAAGAAGGCAAGGATTTTGACGATGACGATGATTTGTTCAACGATAGATTCAGTGACGATGACATGATCACAGCCTACAACTTCACAGATACCGACTTCGATGTTAACAACAGAATAGGCTTTGATATGAATGTGGACACTGAATTCAACCGCTCTCTTGAGTCTATCCCTGAAGATGATGAAGAAACCGAAGAGGAAAAGCAGAGAAAGAAGCTTGAAATGGAGATCAAAGCCCATGAAACACGCATTAAGGAAGCGGAGACAGAACAGAAGCAGAAATGGAACCATATTCTACAATATTGTAATCATGACAAGAAGAAAGCAGATGATTGATATCAATATGCTTCCAAGAAAGAGTCAGAGCAGGATGAAGAATTAGAGGATTTGTCTTCTGAAATCCAAAATTATGTCGAAAAAGCAGGTGTAGAGCATTATGAAAATATGGCATTTGAATTGTTCTGATACATTATTAAGGAAACGGACATTAAAGATTTGAAGGATGATTTAGAAGCAGTAAAGGAAAGACTCGAGCTGATCTAAATACATATTTGGGCATCCATTTAGAATTCTATAAAAAACTACCAATCTGGGGTTTTGGGGTTTTGGGGTTTTGGGGTTTTGGGG